TTGACTTTAAGCACCATGTCTATGTTTACGCCCTCTGACGACAACTACAGGAAATGTCAACTCGATTATTTTAATAAAACATTTTCCGAACTTCTCAAGATCCCGCGTTATGGTTCGATTTTTGCGTCATAATCAATACGCGCCTTTCACGCAAAACGTGAGATCTCGTACAAGTACTGAAAATCATCTATTCGATGCACGTTTCTGTATACGGTCTTGTGAAGTGCATCGTTGTTAATAAATTAATGTAATTACCGTGACTGCTAAACTAACCATTTATCTATTAATTGAAGCGCTGTCTGAACGATTTGGAAGATCGCTCGTTACGGAATTATAAGGCTCGTTCCAGAAGAGCATTTTGACGAGGGTCTTGTCTTGTATTTCCATGTTTGTACCGGGCATGTTTACCATGTTTTGGGCGTGTTCCCAGTCTGCTACCGTGACGTTACGCGCTTGAGACGGAAAAGGAGGTTGACTTTACAATTTGTCACCCGGGAGCTCATTTCCCTCAGTTTTTTCACAAATTGAACAGACATGTTTGTATCTTGTCGTGGAGAAATGTCTTACAGATGTACGAACGAATAAAAAAAAAAATATTAATTATGTTTTGTACTACGAATGTATTTTATGAAAACTTTCTCACATTTTCAGAAATAATGCGAATAACACAATGCAGAATCAACTTAAATCAGTAAAATAAAACATATGCCTAATACTGCGTATATGTGAATCTGTGTCGATTATAACCCCCTCCCCATCACTCACATGGTTGCTAAGCAACAAGGGATTCCACAACTCGTCTATGGTTTGTTTGTTTCATTTGAATGATTCTCAGAAACGTTATATATCGTCGGAGTTAAGCTAAACCACGAAATAATAACACTACGATAAACAATTTCCGTGTTTTCCATTGTGAGATTCTTTCGTTTTTTGAGAGAACAAACCCGGAAATATAACTGATTTTGACAAGATAATTCTGAAATTTATATTGAGGATATTTCATAGCGAAATGTATTTCCGATGCACCCATACATATTTTTCATAATTACCGACTATACATGAATATTACCGAAAAAAAATGTTCTATATTCTCTTTATTTTTAACATTTATTTGTTTTGAATTGTGACTGAAAGGAGCTGGATGAAATTACAAACTATGTAGTGTGTTCAACAACTCATGTATGAACAATTACATTAATAAATATGATTTTACTTGGTAAATTGTATTTTTCTGCATAAAATCGAAAAGATGCCACAATGCCGTAAATGGAAAGTCGTGGAGTTATAATTAGAATATAGACCGAAATATATTTCTCCAGATTGCGAATGCTGTGTACTTAGATCTCGATATACGAGTTAATCTAACTGAAATTACTAGAACACAAATACACGACTCTCTGACGCTGGGGGCAGTATTGTGTTTAGATTCATATACTAGTAGGTTAACCCTTGGTCGGTTGACACGAAGCGAAGAAGTGGTACACACCGGCAGTAGATAATTGAAATTGGAGTAAGCCAAGATATATTCCAAATTTACCAATTATCTGATAAATAGATTTAGATCGATATTATATATTTGGGCCCGTGTTTTGATTTTCATAGGGACTGTGCCGACAGACAATTATCGGTGTTTTAGATCGATAATAGATCGATAGATAGAGATTAGATCGGCATAACGATGTAACTTTTCTTGGAGGTAGAATTTATGGATGCGTATCAGATAGTTAGATCAATAATCGATAACTGTTCTTTGAGTCAGAGTTTGCGAATAATTATCGATGTGAGTAGTATTGGGATCCGACTTTTTGTTTGTTTTTTTGTTATTTTTTGAAGCAGAATTCTAAGATATTAATCCGTCGGAAAATGAAAAACTAACATCAGACTCGACTGCATAGTAACCATGTCCTTAATTATCGGATAATTGGTACTTGGAAGTTTTAGATCAAGAATTCCAACAGTTTTAAATCGATAATTAAAACATTGTAATCAGGTATGATTTTGGTTTTATTAAACATTAATTATTTGAGAATTATTGAACTTTTAGATCGACATTTGATGGTTAAACTGTGTTGTATTCGGCCAGACGTTCCCTGGAGTCCTGAATTGTTGGAGAATTATAAAAGTTTAAGACCAACAGAAAGTAGACAACATGTGGAACTTAAGTTAAATTTCTCTTTAATTCTCGAATAATAAGTTCGAGAATTATCTGAAAACTACTCGATAATAAGGAAGAAAAAAAAAAGAAAAAAAAATAGCTGTGTTGCCCGTAACTCAAAATTCGGTTAACTGTTAATAACAATTCGAGTTACTAAATGTGGACGTTCAACGAAAACAAAAATATAGGTTGCCCGTAACTCGAAGTTCTGTAATTAACTGTAAATTGAACATCGACTTACAATTTGGGCATGGTTTTTGAAATATGGGCGTGGTGATTCTCGTAACTCGATGTTTTCTTAACTCGATGTCCGTAACTCGATGTCCGTAACTCGAACAATTCAGCATCTCCGACTGAACAGTTGGATTAGTAAATGCCGCGTTAATACGGGAAATTACATAGTATTTGTATAGGTTGGGATCTCCAAGGCAACAGTTTATACAATACGTGTACTGTACTAATCTCCGGCTATTCACATGAGCACAAAGGCATCATGGGGAATACTATTGCAAGAGAAGAGGCAGTCGAATTGAAAACTATAACTATATGTAGGCTTCCTTGTCGTTTTTTTGTATAAATGTTACTGTGTGAAGTGACGAGAATCAAAGTTCTTAATTTTTACAATATACAACTAACAAATTGATATTAACAAGCAATGTTGAACCATAGGTGGCGTTCTTCGTGTTGCTCTCTCGTATCCTAACACTTCCTCCTCCGGTTGTCCGAAAGTGGGCGTTAATTAATAAGAATTCATTCCCAAGGCATCACACATGAACAAGTATAAACAGGCTTGACTTATTATGACACTGACAGAACAAATTAGTTCATTTAAATTTAGTTTAATTATCTATCAACCGTGACTATTTGCTAATCAGTAGCAACAGCCCAAACACCAGGTATTGAGATTTACATGTGATTCGAGTTATGGGTGGCTTGAAAGAAATTTGCTTGCATTATTTAACCACAGTCCCTCTATAGACCAGTTTGGAAACGGACCGTATTTCTTTGAAACAGTGCTCGACACGGGTAAATAAAGAACGATTCATATCTTTGGATTAGCATGCATATCATTAGCGATGTTCTTGGCCATCCTGAGACGGATTGCGACCATGTTAATATGCCCAGAATGCAAAGCGCCTGACTTTGAATGCATGTGTAGAGCCTCGGACTAGTAATACAAGTCTGAGATAGAGCATATACATCGTTCGTGACCTCTTTAAAACCAAAACATTGAAACCATGCCACGGAAAGTATACAGTGACTTTATATATTTTATCGACGACAAAATTGACTGATATTTTGTTTTTAGAGGTTCTATGATTTAACTAATGTCGTTTTAGTCGACTAATGCCGACACGACTGACACTCCCGTCACGCAACGAGTTTCACAGTGGCGGCGAAGTTTGTTTTACTGGTCAGGGGAGATTGGCACAAGCGAGAGGGCGTCGTCCGATCTGAATGGAACATTTTCAATAACGACTGAAATGTCAACGTCCTACTCTGCATTCTCTATAAATTTCGTGACTTGCTATGATCACGTTAAAAAATTAACCTGTGGTTACTTCCAGTTTGCTTGACTCTGATAAAATTGTGTCTCAGTATTTCAATTATTTTTTCAGCTGTAAGTAATCGAATCGGTCATCGGTCAGATTTAATTTTACTGAAAAGACGATTTTTTTTCATTCCTCGTAAATATTAATTTATGCAAATGAGACGATTTCTTCAGTCAATCTTCCCATGTACCTCGGTCTGAGGAGTACCAATGTTTATCCAACTTTGAAACCACGCAATGAATGCACAAAGGGACATGATATAATAAAAACTTTGAAACTATTTAATCTGTTCAAAAGATAAATATGTTTTGTTCAATGACATAAATAAATAAAGTAAAGTAAATTAACATCAATAAATAATAAATAAATAAACGGATAAATAAATAAATAAACAATTGAGTGGTTAAATTTGCTATCGTGAAATCAATTAACTATCGTTGGAAACAACTAATACAGCGCCAGCCCGTGACGAGGCGTGAAGTGAGTAAAACATTTGTGTCTTTAAACTTCTATAAGGAATGTGTCTTAACGACGTCACAGATTTTGTTTTTAAGATAAAGTGGATTAAATAGAATTAATCTTCACTGATGACGTCATCGTTATCCGTAAGTAGCGAGCCTGGGGTGCAGAAAGACGCATTCTTTTGATATGACGGCAAATACTTGCACACATGTTTCGCGTGCATTTACGTTCGTTACACAGCTGGTCCGGTAAGCGAGTTCCGGGAAAGTGGTATTTATCAAAGAATGAAACGACCTTAGTATCAACTGAAATGGGCGTTTGTCTATTGTAAACTACGCATGCGCATTGCATGCGTTCAATAAAAATAAGTATAAGCATACTACAAACCACGCCATAAACACTCAAAGAAGTAGAGGTAGAAATATTTCAAGTTTAACCAATATCCGATATATTTTTCAACTGATAGAATCTGCGCTGGGTAAAATGACCGATATATGTATCAGCTACTGTGTCAGGGTCCAAGTGTTAATTCGACATTCTGAATTTTGCCTTATTACGCCAAATTTATGTTTGCAAATAAAGACGTAGTCAACTTAAAACAATTAAATTTTCAACTTGAATATAAATAAATAAAAGTGCAATATTTTGATTTTGAATTTGCTCGTCATGAAATCTACTACAAAGTGACCTCCAGAGGGCGATAGTTACTACCATTGCACACAATATCTGTTGTGGCTTTTTCTAAATCCACCTGTTGAACAGTCAACAAAGTTCAAAGTGTGTCGATGGTGGCGCTTTCCACGACACTCACGTTTGTAGGTTTCACGCTTTCATTTGCGCTCTTCGTTTTTGTCCGTTCCATTGCTTGATATACTCGACACTGACGACAGTGATTCAGTGCTGGCTGTCGTGTGGGTTGTTGTGGGCCACAGGGATGGTCTCGTGATGCTCTCCCGCTGGATGTGTTCCTTTGCACGCAGTCTGAGCGCAGCAACGCTCGAGTTGCAGTGGTCGTTGCAAGCAGAGAAAGTGCCACAGTTACCACTGGTGAGAAGAGCGCTCCCGCTGCCGAGCGAACTCGGTAATGCCAACTTGGCGGCTGCGAAAATACTGCTTGGTACGGTGAGGCTGTTGAGGGCGCTGGTCGGTACCGATGTGACGGAAGGGTGGGGAATTTTGTGGTCTTTATTGGTGAGTAAACAAGCACATCCGGGAATGTTCGAGACCCCTGGTGCGTGGCGTGCGGATAAAGTTGCTGCAGCAATTCTGAAAATACGGAGGAAAACAACTATTTTAGATGACATCACACATAAATAAATCTTGATAGTGATGGTGTAAATTTAACGAGGATTCTCATTTTTTTTAAAACGACGATTTAATAAATTATATTTACCCATCTCGCAAGCAGTTCTGCGCAGCTGCCGCTCTCATAGTTTCATTGTACAGCAAATCGGTAGCAGTGGCGGAAGGTGGATGGACACCTGCGGCCGCAGCGGCAGCGCCAGCAGCGGTCAGCCAGGGATTCGCCGACGCGACAGGATTCCCAGTAGCGTATGCCATTTGGCGAGCCCTCCAGGCTTCGCGACCAAATCGCATTCGACAAGCTTTGCGCCATTTCGCACGGCGATTCTGAAACCATACCTAGAGGAGATAAATTAGCACAAATTAGACGTGTGCTCATCATATTTAAGTGGTTAAAATCACGATCCAAGTACAGGCGAGCTGACTGAAACTGCTATTTCAACTGCAATTAAAACTAAATAAAAAATGTACTAAATAACACCATACGTCTTTTTTTTTATCTGAAAACTCGTGAAAATCGTTTGAACGGAATAGTTGCAGTCAAGATTGTGGTCTTTATTTGAAAAGTAACACAAGTTTGGAGGTCTATTTATTAAGAACATGTGTTAAAACAAAATATTTGTAATTCATCAAATCTAGAACGAATTGTAACAATAGTAGAGCCTCGTACTCACCTGTACTCTGGCTTCGGATAAATGAATCCGCATCGCCAAGTCCTCGCGGACGAATATATCAGGGTAATGCGTCTTCTGGAACAGAGATTCCAATTCACTGAGCTGCTGTGGCGTAAAAGTAGTCCGGTTACGTCTCTATTGGGCATAAACATGAAAACAACGAATGATTATACATACGCCAATCTTGAAGAACAGAGCGCGGGTGATGCATTGTGGGGGTAATGAACAATAGCCTGTTATTACCCGTGTCGAGTTTCTAGAATAAAACGTTAAGCCGAAAGGGCCATTTATACGGAAAACTTGACACGGCTCTAAAAGAATGCACAAACACGCAAAGTGAAAAGTGAAAGCGCCGTGTATGTTTAGGTCGATTATCAAAAAGGAAGAAATGAGATTGAATGATGATATTTTACCAAATTTCAGAGGAATGCAAGAGAGACAGTAGGGTCTCCGGTGGCAACCTGACGACTACTTAAGTGAGATGTACAAAGAAAACATCTTCTTTAAACGAAATACAATCTAGGCATCTTGTGTTACCCATATATTCATTTCGTTCAATGATATATTCAAACAGTGCCGTCAATTTTAAAGCAAAGATCAAAGAAGCAGTGTTGTTTGTTTGATCTTTCATGTAACGCCCGTGCGCGAGTCAATGCATTTACGGGCTTCTGGTCATGCGCAGGATGTCACGTGCTGTTCGATTGCGTCATGTACATGTGTAAGACTCGTTTGTCGCACATATCCGGTGTTGTTCATGGTTTCGCGACATTTTAAATAAAACGTGAACACTATCATGGTACTAAGTCATACGTGGCGTGTCGTCAGATAACAATGAACAGATGTTATCTGAGGGCACGGCAAGTTACTGTAGTTGAACAACATGGCCGCGGGTATGTCGACTTACCCGGACCATGGAGATAAGTAATACCACCATGCCCGGACGAAAATTCCACTCGACATTGAAACCCGCAGATTAGGAGAGAACACATTATTAACCAAATCAAATTTGCCTGCGCCCCGCAGGAGCATGTGTGATAGGAATGGGGTAGTCGTTCTCGCTCTAATTGAAACTACTCAAACGAAAAGATAACAAATATTTTCTAAAACTAATATTTGTTTGTGTTTTATGATTTGGGGAGCCTGAGTTATAACCATAACAACTTCAGATAATTGCAAAAATCCCGATATTACTGAACTGTTTTTGTAGTGCGTTTTCAAAATTTGGTATGCGGCGATAAATGTCGCGATTGGTTACAACTTCCGTCGCGCCGCCACCTTGCAATACTAGCGATTTTGCCCAATTAAGAACAGTTGTCAAATTTGGTAACATTATATAAGTAATATCACATTTTGTCGCTTCTGTTCAAATTTTCGGTTTGTCAATTTTCAAATATTTGTCCCAACTTTCAGCCCGGCGGGAAAACAATGCGTTGAGAGGAATCACCAACTTGGGCAAGACCCAGACAGAGAAACTCCTCAGTACACCAATGTGTCTTACCTGTCGTCTCCTGTTGAACATGTATTCGTCCATTAATATCTCGTCACCAAGTGTTGGCATGTGTGCTGCTGGGGCCACGAGTGGATGAGAGGACGCCAATGATGTGCCCATTGAAGCTGAAAACAAAATCAAAATGTCAGCTTATGTATCCTGCAGACTAACACCGGGGTCCGGGGGAGTAAAGCTGTGTCAAACAAACTACTAGCAGGCGCGCCGCGTGGTGCACGGTGGGATTTGACGTAGCTTCCGCCGCGCGACTAAAACGTGATGCTCGATGTATCTGTCCGCCTAAAAAATGAAGTTTGATTCATTTAGAAAATAATGAATTATCAGTATTTTTTATAAGTTTATTTTCTGTACAATCTTTTTTTTTCGAATCTATGAGTTGAATATAACGCCTGGAACAGTGTCGGAAATCTCCGGCAGCATTCAGTGTGACTGGGGACGTGACGGCCTTTGTCGAGTTTTCCCCCATTGCTGTGAGTCGTGTTTACATGGGAAGTTATGCGGGAGAACACCATTTTCTCGATGCATCATATTTATCATGTTAAAATTACATTTACGCTGATCAGACAGTTGCTTTCCTCGTTTTGTTGAGATCGATTATTAACTGGTCCACTTCAATAGAATCAGTCACAAATTAAGTGAAAATTGTATGATTTCGTGGCATAAAAAGAGGGAAGAAAAAATGTATAATTTTAATTATCACATTGCACAGAATATGCGTTTTCAATTTTCGGTTCATGGATTTCGTCTCATTTCATGTAACATGTATTTCACTTCAAACTCGAAAATTTATTTAAAAATTAAAGAATAAAGGTCTCGTGGGGTTAATAGACCGGAGGGTGTATATACCTTCGTTGATGGGGAGGAAAACGAGTGAAAGGGAACAGCGATTGAATTTTGATGAGACTAGCCTGCTATCGTGTTACGGTGCCATTGGTGTAGTGTATGGAGACACATGTGTGTGATTGGTGGCGAACAATACAGATAGTACGTTTCAAATTGATTAAATGCGTGGCGAGAAAAAAAAATGAACACACAATTCAATTCCATAGCTGAATTCCTCCAAAGACGTATTAGTTGAAATTAAAAAGATAAATAAACCGCGGCAAACTGAAAAAAAGAAAAGCGAGGTAAAGAATAAAGAAGTAATTTGAAACTGGTACTACACGCCTTTGGTAAACGATGGGCAATTACTTTGTAAAGGTCACAGAAAACGGGTATTTTCCCCATCAAAGTTGATGTGTTCTCCATTATGTAGACTTCGTAACATAACGCCATGTGCTTATATACGTATAGAATGACAGCGAACGTCCGTTTAGCGCCAATCCATTGTGCCGCAACAACTGGACAAAAACGTAACATCGAAAACCGATGTCACGAATTAGTAAGATAGATATACGGATTAACAAATAACTAAATGCCAGCTTTAGATTTAATCCGTCATTGTCAACTCCCGATGTTCAGATTTATTGAACCACTCCGTTTTATTTATTTTTTGTCTGATTCCCGGTAAAAATCCGCAACGATCACTGCCAAATGAATTGCGTCAATTGTCATGGATTGTCAGCTATGTGTGTCTACCGCCAAACGTAATTGCGTTCTCTGTACGTACGCGATGGCAGTCTAGCACATCCTACCTGCCTTTCTTCTATCGGGGTAGTTGGAATTTGTAACTGCGTCGCCTAGTAGTTTAGCGGGTATTTGCAGGGTTCGACAATTCTACAAATATGTTAAAGAAGAAATCAACACGGATCATGCAAATGCAGTATATGATATATTTCCACTTCACCGAATCCTCCTTATCAAATCACGCTACACATCGCTCGTATTTATAATGCGATTTATATTAACTAAAGATCGCAGAGTCGGTGATAATCTGATGTCTCCAGAGTGAGCATTAATCTGTAAGACGCATCTACTAAAACAGGATTGAAGTATTATCACCATTAAACTCATAACAATCGCCACGTACAGAAAGGTGTTTTTGATATGACTAATCGGTAAACACAGATAATGAAAACATTGATACAGCAAATTACTGTTAATACGGTAATTGCCAGTCTCTCTCTTTCTCTCTCTCTCTCTCTCTCTCTCTCTCTCTCTCTCTCTCTCTCTCCCTCTCTCTCTCTAAATAGTATAACACACTGCAGTCGAGAATATGATATGTTGGAGCATACAAATGCACGGCGCCTAAATAAAATACTAAGTGTATCATTTTCCAATAAAGCCCATAACAGTAGGATTTAAAACTAATTTTAAAAAAAGATCATGTTGCATTTAGTTAATGTAGTATCAGTGTACAGTCCCTGTAAAACGATATATAGCTATAATTTGAATTATTCGTTATGCAAGTCCGGGTCGGACTAGTTCCATCATCTCTTCAGATTTCTACTAAGTCACTCGCTTACATTATCTCAGAGTGGCGTGTGTCATGGTTACGAAATACAGGGCGTGGAACGAATGACATGACGAAAACGAGCGCAGACGACAATTTCTACCCCTGACTGCGTTTATTTGCTGTCACTTTTCGGCGATTTGTTGTGAATCCCAGATATGTTTATCGCTTGAATCTTGAAAAAATACTTTAAAATATATACAATGATTATGAATAGGTATTTTAGTTTTTTTAGTCAGTTGTTTGTTCAAATCGAACGTCCTCATGAATAATTAATAACATGACGTTATGCTCAGTGACGTCATTTGAATATAACCCTACTGCAGAACAATTACAATGTCATAATTTTTTCCCGCGCCAACATTTTGTGGAAACGTTTGGCAATTTTTGGGGTATTTTTCGATAATTTCTTTGAAACAAATGGACGTAATGTCCATTGACTGCATTCTTTGATCAAAATATTTGAGTAAATATGGTCATAGTTTCGAGAAAATATGCAGGTTAAATGCTTGAATCAGGTGTTAACAGCCGACTTAGTAAACTGTCAGAATCGTTGAATGATTTTCATTTCAAAATCTAGGATAAATTGACCAAGTAATAATTTTAAATCTATTAATATTAGCAATATCAAATAAACTAAGAACAAAATAGTTACCCTGGCAACCAATATACGGTTCTAGCGACGGGATAGAATTTTTATGATTGTACTATTCTTGGATTCGATTGGTTGGATAATGTAATTTTCATGTTCTTTGCTTGCATAGAAGTCGCTGAGAAACTTGTATTGACACAGTCACATCACTCCGGACATGCACATGAAGCACGTGACTAAAAAACGTGACGACCGTTGATCATAGGTTCGCAATGTGGTAGAAGTGACGTCATTTTTTTAAGAGCGTACTATCGAGTTATTGTATCTAAAATCACGGGAAACGAAATCTCGCAATATGGAACGAGTTATAATTACCAATGTAATTTTAAATGTGATAAGAGACTGGAATGACAAGACAAAATCGATTATGAGATGATGTAGTAATGATGACTTCAAGTATTGATGGTCAAGTTCAACCAACGATACCATCGAAGATTAGAATAAAATCCACTTGATAAACGCCTTCAACTTTGTTAAAAACAGAATCAATGTATATTATATTTAAGTAAATTGCTACCGAACGTTACAATTGCACAAATAATTGCTCAAAATTTCGTTTTTCATACACACGTCACGGAAATATTTCTTTTTATGTATGGGGAACATCTAGATTCGTCGAAAGTGGTATGTAATTAGCCTAATGTGTGTTAGGGAGCAAATCAGAGTCCGACCTTGTATAAAAAGTAATCACAACCGTCGCCCAGCCTCAATACAATCATAAATTGATCAGACTTGTGCGTTGGTTTCTAATCAGAAATCGACTACCCAGTATTAGCTGTGTGTTCTGGCCATGGCGATGTCGATCAATACGATTCATACAATTTACAAACTTCGAATTAATATCGCATTACAATTTAGAAGAAATGAAAACGTGTTTTCCTTTCATGAAAAGCTAACACTGAATATCCAATCCAAATAGTTGCCGAGAAAGTGCGCACCATTGAAAGGCTTGTGTATATTGAAAGCACCCAGTGTTTATTTGCGCTCGAAGCTACTTGCCAACAAGGGGGATCAATACGGAGGACCAGTCACATGCATCCTTTTAGTTTAATGAAGTCGATTGGGCACAAAACGATAACACTAAGCCGCGGCCAAATTCGATTCGGTACACACTAGCATAGAATTGCTATTCATCACCAAGCAATAAAATAGGTTCAGACATGAAACGAGGAGCTGTACGCGAACAAGCAGGACACCTCGGATCGGATCAGCGTAATCTTGTCTCGAGTGAAAGGCGTTGCAGAGTCCCTAAATTTCCGCCTCAATGTTTAGGGTATGATAGTATAGATCGTACAGTATTGTCATTTAATTGATCCTTAGTCACTCTGTGAGGACATTAATCTTTTCCGCTTTCTTTAACTATTCATACACGCCAGTGGAAATGGAGATGGCCGTACAAGTTGTTTTCTCTTTTCATGTCGAGTGGTGGTTGTTTACTCGTATAATACTTGTCGCCCTTGTATCATTAAATAAAGGCCTTGTATATACGTCAGCCAAGTGGAAAACACTTGGAAAAGACCTTTTCTATTACGAAGAGAGTGCCCAGCGGGGACGACTTTTTGATACAACGAAATAAGACAGTATAGAAGCGTCCATTATTTAACCCATAGTTTCAGGTATTAATCAAGCCATTACTGGCCAATTTATATCCTTATATCTGGCAAAGTCCCATTAACCTGATTGGTTGAACAATATGCAAGACACGTGTCGTATATAGAACACTATAAACACCACGCCGAATCTTTAGCGCACGTGTTCATTTCTCTTTGTAGATACAGTAGGGGTTGAGATATATCGAAATTGAACATGTCGGTTTAGCGTGATCGCTTTGATCGTAAACCGAGGCGGATTCGAGAATTGCCCAATCTCCAAGCTTTATGCAAAATCTATGAGCTGGAATCCTCTAAAATTTAGGTAAGAACATCGCCTTGATATTTGATACAACGAAAATTAGATTATTCTAGCGCAACTGTGCTGTTGCGAGGTGACCGTAGCACTGCAAAAATCCTAAATTATACTATGCACATTTTTAAACAATTATATTAAAATTTTAACTTAAATATTGTCTGAGTCGAGTGGACAATATGACAACATATAACTACGTGACTTTGCCCAATAAATGATAAATTCTTCTTATTTGGATCGCACAAAAAGAAAGTTTCGTTATACATTTCCGCCAAATTGGAGACCGACAAGCTCAGGGTCATGTCAAAACATAAATATTTCCGATTTGATTTCCATCCATTATCTAAATACAGTGAGTGTGCTGGTCCATGATTCTGATTTCAGAAAAACGGTCGTTATTCCCGAATTATCGGGATTGTGCAAAACGAATTTGAAGAAATTTAAAATTCATTAAGCGTTTACCCCCGCCTTGTTTGTTATTTTCTCTGAGTTTAAGAATCATCGTTGTCCATGGTCGCGGTGACAAGGTTTCGGTCCAAGCTCTTTTTTGTGTTAGATATTACCTATTTGCATATCTACTGGATTATCATCGTTTTGATGCGAAACGGATGCCTTGAGTTTACGGTAACCAAATGTATGAATTTTTAACATGGGACAGCCTGAGGGACCCAATTAAACAATCCCTGTTATCTATATTTCAACTGGAGGTAACTAATAGGACGTCACAGGACTGAATGAAACAGCAACCGTGACGGAAACTTTAAATGAAATGTGGTTTATGGACATGTATTTTTTTGTAATCGATGCGCGCTGGCGTTTTTTTTATTCTGTCTTTATCAGTGAATGTGTGCCGTTATTTTGATTTTTCATGAAAACTTTTTTTCATACTTTCTAAAATTCTCAGACAAAACTATTGAGGTACACACATCATTTTAACTGATGCGTCTGATAACCATGAACACGAGGAATAACAAATACGTTAACTACTTAGTTACTTTACGACTAATATCATTTCGAAAGCCGCGTATAAAACCAACAATTAAAACGGGACGGTAATTGGACACAGTGTTTGAAAAAAAAAAAACATACCGTTCCACAGTTTAAATCACCCGACCCCAGGTACATTATAAATTGAATCTGGCGTTTGACTTTTTACTAAGTTTATCTTTAAAAATACGTGATGTATACGTAAAAACGACCCATTCAACGCGATCGGATATTACAATGATATCTCAAGAGAACTATGTGCCAAATCTCTAACCTAAACTTACACTGGTGATTTTTGTCAGGCCATTATCAAACGAACAATTCATTTTGGAGCTGAGAGTGCGATGAGGCGGACTGGATCACGGTTTACGGCAACGAACTACCCATGCTCCCACGGTCATCATTATCGATGGTTATTCACAGAGGAAAGCTAGCTCCGTCTTAATTCAAAAAAAAAAAAAAAAATAACGAGATCGTCATCACATTGGATTCGTAATTATCATGACGATATGACTACATTCACACCTCCTCGTGACAATGACCAAACTCAAGTGCACTAGGGACATGTTTAACATATGTTATCGTTGAGAATTCATAAAATACTAGTACAAACCGATATAGACGACTGAAAAGAAAGGAGAAATCAGTAATAAAACATGAGTATTCTTTAAAAAAAATAGATTGGATCTTTTTCGCTTATTGAGAGCCTAGTACTTTTGTTATGATAAATACCGAAAGCCGCTAGGATAAGCACCGAAAGGGTGAACATGGCGGTGTTAAGTGCCGGAACCAAAACGAACTTCTTTGTAATATTCACAGTGCTTGTGTACGGTCCATAGAGCAACGTTTTCTGCTTGGCTTGCGCCTTTGTTAGATTATTTGTGTTTGTTTTCAGCTTTCCATTTCTGTACATATAAAGTTTAGCGGAGCGCTGTTCGGGTGCTGCTCTGTTCTGTCGTAATGTCCCCAGTATAGCTACACCATGACCAAGAACGTGAACTTTGGACGTCGTACTTATACGTAATTTCGGACAGTTATAAGACATGTAGATGGTATTTTACGGAAACACGTTATTATTACTAAAAACAATCACACCCTGATTTGCAAATGCAAAATTTGATAAATCAAACCAAAATTGACAAGGAAGTTCTAACTTTCCGCTAATAGCGGAGCTGTCGGGCACAGTATCTAAACCAGTTTATAAATAAATCATTAAACCAACTTATGTTTTTACTTTATTTAAAAAATAAATATGGTTCGATTGTAAATGTGTGAATAATGTCCGGTAACAAAAACTAAAACTTGAATAAATCATGGGTGTAATTAAGGATGCTGGGTATTCTGGTGTCTCTGTTTCTTTTATTTATTGAAAATCGGTATCAGAGGTGTCACGCGACGTCGGAAATACGCACACTCTGGGAGAAAAAAGAACGTTTCAGAATTTCAGAAAACGTCATAAAGGATTTTCAGAACTCGAAGAACAGATTTAAATTAATAAGTTTCTTTGCTGTTTTCGGTAACGTAATCAACGTTTTTTTTTTATGAATGAGAAATTCCGTGCGAAAATTCCCACAGTTTTTGCAGTTTTTGCTTGAGACAGATGGCGGGGTGTCCCGAAATGGCGTTCTGACGCACACGGAAAAAATATGTCCGACGCATTATTTGTGAATCACAGTTTGAAAAGTACAATGTGGACCCCCGCTGCGCGCGACACAGTGTCCCGCTGGTAGTTGGGTTATCCGTAAACGTTTTGTTGCGTTGCCCCTTTCATTTTGAGGTGACGGGCTAGCGAGTGACACTCGACCGTTTTGTATTAGTTACCGTGCTGTTTGCCGCAAGGTTCAGCCCTGTTCATTTTAGAGCAGGTGTTGGGCGGTATTACACCGTTCAAGTCCATTCGTTTACATTCATTCTACCGTGCCTGGGATCTGGTACTAATTTAAACTATACGGTAAATCCCAACTGGATCGGATTCACTCACTTGCGTTATTACCCGGCAATGAACCAAATCTCACAAATTTCGTGAGATGTTATTGAATACTTCTGTAAGCTTATGTGTAATCTCTTCACAATGCACAGATTTATGCTTTCGATTCAATCGATAATATTTATCTGTACACATTATTTTTTTCATTATCTCACATTTTATCAATGCGCTTTAATATTCGATTTTTTTTAGAAAAAAATAAAAAGTCATTTGCTCTGAGTACAAATGTCACCATAATACTACACCTATATCGAAACGATTCATTTTTAGAGTGAATAAAGCTTGAAAACCTGTTCTGGTAGTTAAGACTAGCGAAATATAGTTAGTTATAATATTATCCCCGGTTGCGCAACAAGTGCGTGGCTACACATGAAAATAAACACGAAGATCACTCTGGATAATAATGTCACTGATATCGGCAGCAACTATCAGAGACAAGCATGATTGGAGACCACGTCGCAGGTATCTATGAAAGCGCACGCGGTGGACAGACAATCCTCGGTACTGATATTGTTCGAATTATGGAGACTGTCTTTCGTTGCCCTGCATGTACGACATGCTGGGGAGACGTACGCATGAACTTTGCGCTTATGAAAAAAGAAAATTGCACGCACGAGACTGCCATATCATCGGATGTGTTAGGCGCCGTCAACGGGTAAACATGCCGTACGTGTCCCTGAATTAACATGCAACAAATCAAATACAAGTTCAATCCTACCTCGTGAATGAGAGAAATGTTAGTTGAGTCTTTAGTTGGCAAGATTATCAACGTATTTTAAAAAATAACATGTATTATAACCTAAAATGCAGGATGTTGTCAGACTCTTTTTATTCAAGACTCAAGACGCCTTGCCTAACAACGTCTTGAATGGGAGAGTTTCTCTCTTCTTACAAACCCATTGATAAAAATTCATTTAATTTACTTAAAAGGACCAGTTCTGTTTTCCGAATTTGAGTCTTTCGAAAATTAATAGATTTTTAAGTTCAATAAGCAATAACGGTAGTTTAGCGCCTGTACATTCGGAATACACCGCACTCTTTCTTTTGTGGGGGACATTGAAAAGGTCTTCTCCATTACATTATTAAATCAGCGAGAGCTTCATTTTGCTTGAAAACCGTACCACGGAAGCCAGAAGTACATGTAATGCAACCTGCAAATTAATCACATTTCAAGAGCTTGTTCGTTGTATTCAAAACGAAGTTTAGCATTCTTTCAGTGTTCAAATCCCAGGCAAGTCGCTTAGTGAAATGTAATTCCAATAGCATCTTTAATTAAATAATTCTAACCGGTATGTAACGTTGTCTGCATTAGTGTCACATTTACTTATATTAATTCAGTAATTGCGTCCCAGGAAAAGAGAAAAACGGAGTACTCTTGTCCGGTACATTAATTAAATGAATATTCCGTTTGAGATGACAGGTTGTTGGAAATAGATGAGTAATATGTACTGCATGAAACTAATTCAATAAACGTGTTTCTTATATAAACTATTTTGATGTCGATTTCGCGCTCCGGTATACATCATGTTCGGGGCTGATATAGCCTTGAACGTCTTGGGGATTTAATCAATGGAATTAATTGCTACGCTGAGCAATTCGTCTCGCTAAACCCTGCAGAAAGTTCTAGACGATTGGACGAATTATATATATAGTTTGTTATTTTTTATATTAAATGACGAGTACATAGAATTGATGCTTGGGCTCGTTGTTCAGAGGCACTCGCTCTTTTCTCCATTTATGTTTAACTTAATCTTCCCTTGCCTGTCCAAGTCGCTGTCGATCTCAGTAACATATACTAGTGCCCTGGACCTACGGTGTCAAGATCGCGGAAGGAAACTGCTTTGATTGGCCGCATTGAAATCGGCGCTTATCACACCTAAAGCAATTGTTGCAATCTTGGAATATGTTTTCTACTAACGATGTATATGTTCATATCACAATGACTACGCCGCAAGTTACACATATGATACTATGATATTTCGCTGACTATTCCTCATCGTTTTGTTGTTTGTTTGGATAGAATATGCCACGATACAGGGAAACAATTTACAGAATTGTATTCCATGGCGTCTCCACAACTCGTACAAACTTACCAACATTTTCTTTAAAAAAAGTACTTAGAAATATTACAAATTACAAACACGTTACAAAAGAACAGAATATTACGATATTTCCAGTCAACATAGTGCGTGTAGAATTCTATCAAACCATATTGGACATATATCGAACAATATAAAATATACATTCGGGCGTATAGTAAAATTACCTACTTTATATATGTAACCAATATACAATTTTTGGATGGAATAACAAAAGTACTAATAATGAGTGTATTCAGATAGAATTGTCGGTTTTGCTTACTTATTTCCGGTTTTGAATAAAACAGAAATATTAAAATGCTACTTTTTGAGTATTAGGTACGTTTATTAATGAAGTTGACTTCCGATTGCGATTAACCGATGCAATACACTGACATGCCAAGTTTTGGCTCCGTGAATCCGTGATAACCCGAATGTGATACATCGTTACAATTAATTGGTTTGATTGTTTCGATTATTTATCACACGTCGATATTCCCACGTATTGTGAAGCACTAATTATACTACTATTGGAAAAAAAAAACAATTAACCGGTTAGGTAATAAGTTGATGACGATATTCGATTTCTATAACTTTTTAACGAACAACGTACTGTGTATAAGAAACAAAAGCATTTTGCTTATTTGAAAATCGCGTAGAGCGCAGAGATACGTGTCACTTGTCTCACACCTTGGCGCGACATATCAACAAGTTTTACGATCGGCGTGAACGGATATAATTCTAAATAAAGGTATATTTGGATCGAATCTAATTGAGTATAACCAGTAAACATGGATATAAACCATGATTAATAACATTGGCTTACTTGTTGCAGTAGTTGCAGTAGTAGACACAGACTGGGTAAACTCCACGTGCATTTCCTGTTTACCGGAGATATCTTCTTACGATTCTTGGTCAGTTGCACACAAAATCTCGCCGAGCTCTGATTAGCCTAGTATTTGTTTAAAGAGGTCTTTTATCGATGGTCGAGAACACATTCAGTCTCTCATTCAATAAGCAATGAAACAGGCCCTTTTATGAGGGATCGACTCGTCTCATCACCGCCGGGGCCACGCCTACCTCGTTTATGTTCGATACGCTTCGGGTCAAATCTGAAGCGGTTTCTTATTGTTTGTTCCGTGTCGTGATTGGTCGACACCAGACAAACGAACATACTAGTAATATCTTCCAGCAGATTGGTGGGCATTGTCACCTCCCCCTGACAGTGCTCTAACATCATGAATAGCCCCCAAAAGAAACTATTAAAAAAGTGGAATTAATCACGACTACGTCTCCTATTCTTCGCATAATTGCTGACTCAACATTTTTTAATTAACGAGATATTTTTTTTTTGACATTTCGGATGGAGAATAAATCTTGATTCAACAGTTAAAAGCAATAAATTGAAAGGATTTTTATCGCTTCTATTCTATTTGTAAATAAGAATGTGTTTCATCGCATCTCCTGCAATTTGCTCACGTGGACTGTACTCGAAGCGTACCCAGCAAGTACGCATTGTGTCCAGGCTTTGTAGAACGTCTAGTTAGTTTACTCTTTTTTTTTTATGAAATCGCGCTTTGTCGCTGTCGTTAAATTGTAGGTTTCTGATGACTGTAATATCGTGCTTGACAACGTCGGAAACTTTAGACT